TCTCAACCCCAGGAAAAAGGGCGGACTCCTAACCCAAAGAGATACTTTCTAAACCAATAACTGCAGAGGGCCCGCAGCCCGGCTTTCCAGACTCTGATACTGTTTAACTTCCAGGGTGCTGCTGGGTCTATAGCAACCCTGTGGAAATGCAAAGGAATACTATCCCATGCAGCTAAAAGGCAATGTAAACCTTGCTCCTGGAAGACGGAACAATGACTAATCACATCTATAAAAGTTAAATCCGCAAATGTGTAGAACCAACAAATAATCCAAACAGAGGGGAACACCTGGCTATGTTTCTTTCTGTGACTCTGCTATGAGGAAAGTGACAGGTCTGAAGATAAGAATTGCCTGTTTGTTTGGAGATCCTTCCTAATTCTGGCGCATTTTTGTATGTTGATGTTTGTTTAAATTTTAAGTATTTAAGTAATTATTCATGAAAGTTATTTCTTCCCACACACAGAAATAACAACTGAAGGCTGAACAACATGGAGGGGAAAGCAGATTGAGCAAGAAAGGCTTATAGCAGAAAGTCTGCCAAATCTAAAAATATCCACAAGATATAATGGGAGCAGGGGAAGAGATTGACAATATCCTTGGTGGTCAATAAACCGAAACTGCTAAGGCAGGCTTGGAGACAGACACAGTGTAAGCAACAATGTGTGACAGAGACTGTGCCTGATACGAAGCTAGTAAGCATGGGAGAGAGAGGAGAGAGAGGAGGATTTAAAATTGTCATCTCTCAGCACCAGACATTGATGAGGTGAGCGACTTCAAAAAAGGAGTGGAAACTGACAGCACCTTGAGAGCAAGTGCTACCTTGAGGCACAACGATTTACGCATGAAATGGAAGAAATGATTAGGGAAAAGGACAGTTATATAAAATGGGGATGCCAAGGGAGGCACTGCCAGATTATGAGACTGTAAAAGAACTGGAGCTTATTCAGACATGCAGGTGACAACTTTGCCATTTCAATAGTTGCCACTATTTTAAAAGTTTTGGATCATATTTTGGATCATAGTTTTGGATCATATTTTGGGTGGTTTGTGTTAACTGGTCTGGCGTAGAGGTGAAAGAGTATTTAGAAATGTTGGAGGTGACTGGTGATTTGCTATGAATGTTGGGGGTGACTGGGATTTCCTATTAATTTGAAAGGGAACATTAGAAAGCTGGTATGTGGCAGTTGAGACAGTCTGTGGGAATTGGAGTTTATTTATTTATTTATTTCTCGTATTTTTACCCCGTCCTTCTCAACCCCCGAAGGGGGACTCAGGAAGGCTTACATTTAGCAGCAATTTGATGCCACTACATACAACAACAATATAACAACAATAAAAACAATAAATAGAACATTAATTCAAATCATAAAAACAGTATTAATAGCCGTATCACCAATTCCTGTCAAATCTCATATCCAAAGTGCTTGCCATGTTGCCAGGACTCTGCCTTATTTAGGTAGAGATGAATCAAACTCCCAGTTTTATCAAACAGTTTAATTAAAACAGCACTTACTTGCTGGCTGTTTTAATAGAACAAAATATAAAACACAAAGATAGCACTCAGCTACAGAATAAACAAAAACTGATAGCAAAAATATCTTCATAGTCAAAAGGGTCCAGTCCAGTGGTCAAATGCTGAGAGTTCAATAACAGAGTCCAGGGATCAAGAGTCTATACCGTAGTCAAAAGCCAGTCCAAAGGTTCAAGGTTCCAGGGTTCCAAGATTACAGGGAACAGGTCAGGATACCAAAAATCCAACAGACCTGGGGGAAAAACCAGCAGCATCCACCAACAAAATGCAACAAATACTTTTCTCCCAAAGATCAGTCTCAAGGTTAGCTCCTTAAATCCAGTAACACCCAGCTGCAACCCATCTCCTGCACACTTCCACCCCTAATTGCTTTCACCCATGAACTCCCACTTACACATTACCAAACCCTCTAGAACTAATACATTAACCCTTCCATCACCAACCATCAACTGCAGAACATATGACAGTGCCATTTATGCCTGCTATCCAAAAGCCTCATCCCAGAACCACAACTTCAATTTCTTCCTAAAAGACAGGAGGGATGAAGCTGATCTTACCTCGTTGGGAAGCGAGTTCCACAGTTGGGGAGCTACAACCGAGAAGGCCCTGTCTCTCATCCCCGCCAGACGTATTTGTGACGCCGGCGGAAACAAGAGCAGGGCCTCCCCGGATGATCTTAAACTATGAGGTGGGATGTAGAGAGAGATGCGTTCAGACAAGTAAGCTGGGGATGAGTAGTGAGAAGGGAGGGATGAGTAGTGAGAATTGTGGGAGTCCAGAGTATGGTGGTGGTGGGTGCTTGGGAAAACTACCCTAAATATAGCAGAGCATCCAAAAATAAAACAGGATACTTAAAGTTGAGCATCAGCTCATTAGCGAGCAGAGCGTGAAGTGCTGTGTGATGTGGCTGTAAAGAATTATGAGCTTAAGCAGGCAAAGATGCAGAGTCCTGTCTTTAAAAATCACAAAAGGTCTACACCAAAAAGAATAACTACAATGTCATTGACTCAGCTCCCACCCCAACTTTAGAATGGGGGTCGTCTGAAGTCTGAAACAACTTTAAGACAAGCAACAATAATAATTGACTTTGTATGTTCTTTCTAGAGTTGGGCTGGAGGACCTAGAGCAGGGTTCCTGAAAATTTTTAAGCAGATGGCCAGTTCAAAGTCTCTCAGAACTGTTGGGGTGGGGGGTGGGGAGCAGACTGTAGTTTGGAAAGAAAAGGAACAGAAACCTATGCACACTGCATGTATCTTACTTGTAGTGACGACCACCCCCCCCCCCCCCCACCGAAAAAAAGAAAGAAAATAAACCCTATGAAAGAACAACGCAATTAGAATTGTGACTTACACTCACCAGATTAAAGTGTTTGACACACTGGTTCCTCACAAAAGCCTATCTGTCCTGGGAGATCCTCCCAGTGGCAGTGCTATCATCAACATAGCCTCTTGCCTCATGGAAGCATTCAATCAACAGGGAAAGGTAATGACAAGGCAGAATAAAGGAGCAAATTCCTAGAGAACAATGTTTGGCAAAAAGCTGTGAACCATCACAGCAATGTGATATATGCTATTCTCTGACAGCAATACTCTTCAGCATTCTGCATTAAGCAAACAGGCCTGTCTCTGTGTCTGAAGATAAAGAGACATTAGGAATTAGGAATGGGAATACCCAATAAGATGCTGAACTCCTCAATCTTTCTGGATATGTATTCTCACATTTCAGAACAGCATTCCTTGAGCAAAAGACTCCAGCGGTGGTTGGAGAGAAAAAGAGTACAATTGGGATATATCTACAAAATCCAGTCCATCAACAATGGCTTAAACATCTACTCATCTTGGCTTTAGACAGTATCTTTCCTTTCAGCCTTGTCTCCCAACAACCATCAGTACAATTAAACTTGTCACCCCACAGGTTTTGCATTTTTATTACTATTTACACGAAAACATGCTCACTCATGTGTAAAAAGATCTGCCCATATGCTACAAACTTCTTTGTCTCAGTTAGTCTCTGGACTATTCAGGTAGACCCTATATCCCAGGATCTGATCCCGGGTTTTCTGCTTTAAATTGGATAATATGAGTCCACACTGCCAGATAATCTGGGATAAACAGAAAATCTGGGATCAGATCATGGGATATATGGCCTGTCTGGGAGGTTCTTTTGCATACTGTCCCAGTTTAACACAGCCATGTCTTTGAATTCTACCACAGCTGGGAATCACGATAGCCAACAGAACCTCCATGTCCAGAAAATTTTTACCTCTGAATACCAGAGTTTGGCAACAAACAGTATTTCATACCAAGTTGATGAGCTCTCAGAAGAACAGCAAACAAATTTCAGACATAGATGGACTTCAATTGCTTCAGTTGACTGGCTGGATCAAAACGAATCAATATTTTACAATGCTAGTGTTATAAAAGGGACAAAAGTTCTTCCTACCTCATTTCTTTCATACCAGCCAATATTTTGCATTTTTGAAAAAGTCTGGGAACGCTTAACAACAAAATAAATGAGATAGCCACTGCCACATAAGCAACATGTTATAAGTACATTGGCCAAGACCCTCAGGAATCTTCTCAGGTGGATGTTCTCATCTTTGTTGCTTTCTTGTTCATCCACAATCGACTCCTGTATAAATGCAAGAAATAATAGGAATAGATTATACAAAGCATAATCCCTTGCTTGTGTACTTGCATACAAGACCAATATCATCAATGTAACACTCACCTTTTTTGGGCTTAAATTACCTTGCCAAAATCAGGGTGTGCATTAGATTTGAGAAATAGGGTAATAGTGCTGAACCAAAGCAAGAGGGGACGTTGCTGGAGCTTCTATTTGAGTGATGTCATCTGTAATTTAATTGTCATAGCTCAATGCTATGTAATCCTGAGATTTGTAGTTTGATGAGGCAGCAGTTGGTGTGAGGGAGGGGCTCCCAACTGATGCTATAGGCAGGAGACAAGATGAAACTGGGTTGTTGTAGGTTTTTCTCTAGAACATGGCCATATAACCCGGAAAAACCTACAACAACCCAGTGATTCCAGCCATGAAAGCCTTCGACAATACAAGATGAAACTGTCTTCTGCCCCCTTCTCATATATCATCCTATATCTTCTGCCTATATCATCAGTTGGGAGCCCCCCCCCCCCCACCACCAACTGCTTGCTCTGGCCAGAGTGAAGAGAGGGGGCAGAAGACAGTTCCATCTTGTCTCCTGTGCTTTACTAATAATATAATAAATATTGTATATACATATAATATTATATATTATAATGTAATACAATATAATACTACTCATAATACAATATTATAATTATATATTTTATATTACATGTAATATTACTAATAATATTACAATATAATGGTATAGTACAATCTAGTAAAATATAATACTGATATTGTACTATGCTAATAATATAATATATTACATGTAATATTGTATGTATATATGTCTTGTAAGCTGCTCGGAGTCCCCTTCGGGGTGAGAAGGGCAGCATATAAATGTGATAAATAATAAATAAATTCTAAAACAACAGCCCTCATGATCACATAGCATTGAAGCAAGGTAGTTAAAGTGGATTCATTCTGTAACAAAGCTGCACCCCAATGTTTCTTTTCCATTGCTGAAAGCTTTGGTGTTCTAACACAATTGTTTTTAAAGAAGGAATTCTAAGCAGGTAGCAGCTGAAATTGTCATATCACAAAGAATGAACCTTTTACTGCTGTGCATTACATTTTCCAGCATTTTTTTAGGTTTGAGGGTTTTAAAATTGAGGTGCACATAAGATTCAGTGGCACATTAGACTCGAGTAAATGTGCTACTACATTCCATTGTGTTTAGAATTATAGCATAGCTGTGTGTGAGGAATTTATGAATCCCTTTGCGGGGAAAAAATAGTTTATATGTATTGTCGAAGGCTTTCATGGCCGGAATCACTGGGTTGTTGTAGGTTTTTTCGAGCTATATGGCAATGTTCTAGAGGCATTCTCTCCTTACGTTTTGCCTGCATCTATGGCAAGCATCCTCAGAGGTTGTGAGTTTATAATTTCTTAAAAAATATATTACATTTATTTATGTTACGGGATACTGTAAAGCCCTGCCAATCTTGATTCATCTGCATTTTTCTTCCTTGCTCCATACTTATAATACACAATATTATTTTCATGCTTCATAGATGGACAGCTGCAATTAAGCTGGCTTGAATATTAATAATGCAAGAAGTCTAAATATTGTTGGGTCAAAGCCAAAATTAAATATTGGGCATTGATCTGGAACAGAGTTTGAAAAGTTATTGTTTGGAACGCATGTCTCAGAATCCCTAAGCCAAACCCCAAGTAGTAGAAAAAAGAAAGCAAAACAACAACCCTCTCAAACAAACATACTTTTTCTGCTCTGATCTGGAAATAGCAGAAAACATGAAGGTGTACATAGTTGAAGTTGGTATCTCAATCTCTCATATATATATATATATATATATATGTATGTATGTATGTATGTATGTATGTATGTATTGTATTTTGTATGACTGGGGGAGGGAATCACTGATTTTACTACAGTTGTAGTTCTCCTTGAGATTCCAGATATGATAATGAAAAGGTTGGATAACTTGTACATATTTGGGGGCCAAGACTGTGCAGTTACCTTGAAGCTAGTTGTAATAGATGCAAACTTGTTGTCTGCTGTCTCTGGATTCCCTATGAGGTAGTCCCAACTAGTGAACATTTTCCAGCTAAAAGTGAAGTTTGCCTCATCTCCATCTCCTGTGTCTTCATGGGCGTTCCGGGCCATCCTGCAGACCAACAAATTCATGTACAGTTGCTTAACATGTGTTACCGTATTAAGCTGCTAGGTGTCCCTATCCTCCTGCATGCAAACATTGCTGAGTAGAAACCCTGTATTCTCTTGAAAATAGGGAATTTAGATTGCTATTGAAAGCACCCATTTTGCATAGGTATTTTGGCATCAAATAAGCGCACATCTTTAAATGTCTGAGTTTACATTTAGAAAAGCTGACCGATTCTTAGAAGAGCATACCAGCACTCATTACTGGCACAGTGTTGGTGCTGTTCACTGCAACCATAATGTATTGTGCTGTCCAAAGGGGATCCAATCAGTTGTGTCTTTGTGTTTACATTTCTGTAATACTCAGTGTATTATGCTTGCATTCATTATTTTATTATTTGCTTTCAATTTTTAAAAGAAAATAATACACAACTTCTTACAAAAGTATCTTTGAAATAAATTCAAGATTAAACTAATATACTGTGACACGCTAAGTCTTTCTGACACAGAACTCACATTGCCATATCATCTGGGTAAGTTCTTTACTCAAAGCAGATATACCAATTTTATTTATTAATTTATTTACCGTATTTATATCCCACCTTTCTCTATACCATGGGGGACTCAAGGTGGCTTACATAATAGTAATAATAATAATAATAATAATAATAATAATAATAATATTTTTGTCGTGTCAGGAGCGACCTGAGAAACTGCAAGTCGCTTCTGGTGTGAGAGAATTGGCCATCTGCAAGGACGTTGCCCAGGGAACACCCGGATGATTTATGATGTTTTATCATCCTTGTGGGAGGCTTCTCTCATGTCCCCGCATGAGGAGCTGGAGCTGAGGGAGCTCATCAGCCTCTCCCCGGATTCGAACCTGCGACCTGTCGGTCTTCAGTCCTGCCAGCACAGGGGTTTAACCCACTGTGCCACCGGGGGGCTCCTGTGAATAATAATAATAATAATAATAATAATAATAATGGGTTGTTGTAGGTTTTTCCGGGCTATATGGCCATGTTCTAGAGGCATTTTCTCCTGATGTTTCGCCTGCATCTAAGGCAAGCATCCCCAGAGGTAGTGAGGTCTGTTGGAAGTAGGAAAATGGGTTTATATATCTGTGGAATGACCAGGGTGGGACAAAGGACTTTTGTCTGCTGGAGCTAGGTGTGAATGAATAATAATAATAATAATAATAATAATAATAATAATAATAATAAACTTTATTTATACCCCGCCGCCACCAGGGGCTCCTGTGAATAATAATAATAATAATAATAATAATAATAATAATAATAATATAAACCTTTTTATACCCCGCCACCATCTCCCCAAGGGGACTCAGGGCGGCTTGCATGAGGCTACGACCATCAATACAATATATGCAATATAACACAAAAAACACAACAGAAAATAAAAATAAATAAAATAACCTAAAATACAAAATCAATGTATATAAGCGACACAACAATATAAAGTCAAAACATTACGACATTAAAATGCTCACCATGGGCAGGGCCAAATTCAAGGATTAAAATTTTAAAATTCTGGGAGATAGGGCATGTGGCACTTATGCAGTGCCTTAAAACATACAAAGTTAACTTAAAAATAAATTGGATTAAAATTAATACCTATTAAACATAATTAAAATAGATTCCAATGTTAAAACACACCACCCAGGGATCAGAGTTTAAGGCCATTCCATAGTCAATTGCATATATATTCACTTTGAAATTATTGCGCTGCATTATTTTTCAAAAGCCTGCTCCCAGAGCCAGGTTTTTACTCTCCTTCTGATGGCTAGGAGGGAGGTTACTATTTTACTTAGGTTAGGTTCACATAGGTTACTATTTTATGAATCTGGTGAAGTATACTGTGGTCTATTAAAACATATTCTGCAATACAGTTGTCAAGTATTGTGTTATCAAGGCTTTCCATTGGTTTTGTTGTGTTCTGTTTCTGCCTCCACGCATCAGTAGTGAATGTGCTGATAACCTCAAGGTTGGACTTTTGCAATGTGGTTTACATTAGGCTTCCTCTGTACCAATCTGTCCTAGTCACTTAGGTCCTCTGGGGGACAGCTATTGCAACCAGAACCTGACTGGCAAATGTCACTCAGAGGATTTCACCGGCTGCCCAAAGACTGTGGAATGACCTGCCAGAAGGTCTCCGACAGTTAAATCAGCTTCAGTATTTAAAACACAGCTGAACACCTATCTCTTCTGGCAGGCTTATCCAACCAATTTTAATATGTGAATTTTAACCTGCAGGGTGAATTTTAATTTATATTTTACCTGTATATATTTATTATATGCATTTTAATAGTGTTTGTTTTATTTTGCAGTTTTAACCCTGTTGTACTTTGCCTCAAACCACAGGGAGAGGCAGATAACAAATAAATAATATTGGTATTGTTGTTATGGTTGTTATCATCATCATCACCATCATCAATTTTCCTTTTTAACAGCTATCATTAGAACCCACCAATTTATTTAATTCTTTTTAAAGTCCCGTCTGACTGTCTGTCTATATATGTTGTGTGTCTATGACATTGAATGTTTGCCATGTATATGTACATTGTAATCCGCCCTGAGTCCCCTGCGGGGTGAGAAGGGCGGAATATAAATACCGTAAATAAATAAAATTTTAAAGTCCTCACCAACCACTGCATAAACATCACTTTATATCGATTGCACTACTAGTCCTTAGAACTAGTGCCATATGGACCTTTCAGGTTAAGCAGTCTCCAGTTGCTTTGTTTGATTTGATGACTGAAATACAATACATGAGCAATTTCTAGTTAATAGCATACACTTGTTTCTTGAAAAGGGAGATAAGGTTACCGATGCTGAGGTTTCAGAGCAATGCCAGTGTATTGGAGATCAGCGCGTTTGCCCATCTCCTTTGTCCAATTGGGAAGTATTATTATAAGCACTGAATAGTGGGGAAAAAACCTTTCCAGCAAAAGTTAAAAATCCATCTGGCCTACATACATTCTCAAAGGAATCCACAGTAGCTTTGTTTTCTTTTTAAAATACTACGCGTTCAAAGAAAAGAATGAAACTTATATGATATAGGGTTTGTTCTGGCTTTCTACATACAACATATTTGAGCTCAGGGAGATTTCTTTAATCCTTGATATTTCTTTGTAGCTTTCTGATAAAATAGAGCAAAGATGAATGTGCTTGAAAGTCAGATAAAGAATGAAGGCATAGCGAGATAGGTCAGCACTGAGGGCAACTTCACCAAAAAAAGATGTGTAAATGATCTGTGTATTTTCAGTTTACAGTTTCAGTGTGATGGCCAAGGGAAAAGTTTCTGCATCATTGTGATAGTAAGATGAACTCTGCATACATTCAGCACCTGCGACCTACTGTGCTCAGGTTCCTTTTTTCTGCAGACAGCGAAATAATCCACAGGAGGTTGGGAGACAAAGTTGGAAAAGTCACTCTTTGACCATAACTTACAGAATCCTCCAGCAGCATTTTTGGGCATTGAAGTGGTTGCTAGGAGCCCTCAGTCGCACAGTGGGTTAAACCCTTGTGTCGGCAGGACTGAAGAATGACAGGTTGGAGGTTTGAATCCAGCATGAGCACGGATGAGCTCCCTCTGTCAGCTCCAGCTCCCCATGCGAGGATGTGAGAGAAGTCTCCCACAAGGATGGTAAAACATCAAAACATCCAGGTATCTCCTGGGCAATGTCCTTGCAGACGGCCAATGCTCTCACATCAGAAGCGACTTGCAGTTTCTCAATTTGCTCCTGACACGAAAAAAAGTGGTTGTTGTCTCAACAATAAATTTTCCAAATTTGAGCCTGAAGCTCAGCTTTAAAAAGAATGGGAGAGGTGGTGAGGGAGGAAAGAGTGTGACATTTGCAAAGGAAAATCAGTGAGTAAAAAAGTGTGGGGAATTCATCGCTCTTTTAAATTTGTCATTATCTCCCTCTGTTCCTTTTACAGGTCTTCTTCTTAATTGTCGAAGGCTTTCATGGTCGGAATCACTGGGTTGTTGTAGTTTTTTGGGCTGTATGGCCGTGATCTAGAGGCATTCTCTCCTGACATTTCGCCTGCATCTATGGCAAGCATCCTCAGAGGTAGTGAGGATGCTTGCCATAGATGCAGGTGAAACGTCAGGAGAGAATGCCTCTAGACCATGGCCATATAGCCCGAAAAAAAACTACAACAACCCACTTCTTAATTGTTAGTTAATTTTCAGTCATTTTGGAAAACTACTTTTACGGGCCAATTCTTTGAAATTCTCAGCCAGTTGGAACCTTTGGGGTCCAACTCTTCCAAAGTCTCAGCCAGGTCAAACACAATGACTGGAGATTTCTGGAAATTATAGTTGAAAGGATAACATTTCCAAGTCCTGTTTCAAAGCTGTTAAAGAAAAAGTTTAACTTACGATCTTATTACCACCATCAAGCTGTATCCATATACACCGACAACTCCAACCATGAAATATGCCATTGGCAGCCTGTATTTTAGCCAACCAATCGTCCTCTGGTTATTGTAATAGCCATAGAAAAGAGCAGAATGTTTTATGTAGCCCTGGAAATGTGGAAAATAGTTTAAATCAGTTTGAGCTAATGTTTTTTTTTTAATTTCCACTCTTATACAAATAAGATCCAAGTATAATTCACTTTTAGGAGCAGGTTAAAAACTTATTAAGAAGTCAGCCTGGATTCCATTCAAACCACTTCAAACAATCACATTTCTTGCTGTAAAATTGTGTGGAGTATGCATTATAGTTAAGAACTGGAGTATCTTGCAGAAATTCAAAGTATATGACTGTGATAAATTTTGCTCTATCTATTTATGAGACCATGGCAAACAGATTAGAAAGAGAGGAAAATTCACTTACGCAGTACGTTTTCAGTCTCATTTCTCAGCTTCTGACTGCCAGGTTGATGCTAAACAAACATATAAATTAAATGTCTAACTAAGGACCTCATCTAGGAGACTGAGAAGCTGTGGAACATCATGAGAAGCCATGGGACAGCCTGCCACTTTATGCCCTTACCATTGTTGGTCATGGGATCTCTTCCCACGATATTTCCATTTAATGACCATTTTCACACCACTTAAGGTTGCCAAGTAAGGAATATCTCAGGCCATGAGATGTCAGAACCAAAACTTGAGACCTTTTTGTAATGCCACAAGAGATTTTTTTGATAACTATATGGGTTCTTTGTACCTCTGGTGCCCCTTCTTTCATCGGCCTGATAAATTAAAGATTAGCAACAGTTTATAAGGCAGTGCTCTCACCCTGACATGTCGTCATCTAACTTTCACAACTGAATAAGTGAATCTAAACCCTGAGATCTGGGAAGTCTAATGCTATTAGACATCGGTTAATGTTTAGTCAAGATGTTAGCAAGGATTCCAAAACTCATCTGTCTGCTGGCACAGGCCAAACGAATGATGTTATAAGTCCTACATATTGTCTTCTTGTGTGCCATCTGTGTTGCCTACTATAATACAATAAGAGGTTCTATCCTTAGATCCTTCTCATCAGATGGCTCTTTGCAAAGTGGGGGACAGTGGGGGAAATTGTGGGGCAGCATAAGGAACCCACTTGGATGTGTCTATTATTTTTTACAGTATTTATATTCCACCCTTCTCACCTCGCAGGGGACTCAGGGTGGATTACAATGTATATATACATGGCAAACATTCAATGCCACAGACACACAACATATAAACAGACACTCAGAGGCTATTTAACATTCCAGCTTCTGGCCACCAGGGGAGCTGTTGCTTCACCATCTGTTCTGATGAAGTACTTTTCTCATTCTTTGCATACTTCCTGGAGATTTTTATGGCCACGTAAATCAATTAAATTAGCCTCTCCACGTAAGTGGTACCTAAATTTGCTATTTGACAGATGCAACTGTCTTTTCAGGTTGCAAAGGTCAACAACAAGCTACACAATTTTGGTCAGGAGCTCACTCCAACCCGGGCTGGCTTCGAACTCATGACCTTTTGGTCAGTAGTGATCTTAATGCAGCTGACTCCCAGCCAGCTGCACTACAGTCCTGGTTTCTCACTGCCAGGGCTCATCCCCTGCCTTCCCATGATATCCGTCACTTCTTCTTGACTTCCTCTGCCTTTATTGGATGGAGAATCAGGTGCATACTGCCTCAACACTGCTGGCATGGAGCCCCATGGAGCCCTGCCAGAAGTAGCCCTGCATCATGTGATGGGCTCTGGAGGACTTCATGCTGGCAGAGGAAAGAGGTGGGGAGAAGATGCTTCTCTGCTTCCATCTCATGAGGTTGTAGTTGAACCCATGACATTCCTCCAAGTTTATTTCTTTTCATGTAGGTCAATGTGTGTGTGTGTGTGTGTGTGTATGTATGTGTGTGTGTGTGTTTGGTGTGTGTGTGTGTGGGTGGTATACACAGTAGACACACAACAACACACACACACACACACACACACACACACACACACCTTACTATATATACCCATTCCAGTACGATTTCTATTAGGCAGTGTGAGCTTTATTGCGTTGCTCCATCATGCAATGGATATTTAGCCACTACTGAACTGCTGCTGAGACCATAGTAGTGAGAACAGTGGCAAATAAGGGCAGCCATGAAACCCTGTAGATGTAGGGTCAGAATCTTTTGTGCAATATTGCTGGTAAAGCTAAAGGCAAGAAGTATGACAGAAAGTCAAGCACAAAAGAGCTTTTTGGGGGCATTCATTAGAAAGATTATTTTCAGCTTGTGGTTTCACTATGCACTTAAATTTTATATCCCTGTTTTTTCCTATTGCAAGGATAAAAGCAAAATTATAGCCTCCAGAACACTCTGTCAGAAAGGGCGTCTTGTGCTCAAATAAAGCCTATTCTTGCCTTCTGCCATTTTCTGTTATGTAACCCATTTTCTGGAAAAGTATTGCTTATCTTAAAAACTCTCCTATATGCATTTTCAAAAGCAGTGCTTGCTGGGATCAGCACAGCACAGCAGACTGTTCCTCCATTTTTATTCTTACAGTTAATTCTAGTATTTCTAGATATTATTCTAAGGTATTCGTAGAAGGGAGATGTGTTGGAGCCTTTTATGAATTAAATGCCAAGATGAAGGATTTATTGGGATTGTCCTGTTTTGTCCATAGAAACTTTACAGGAGTGGGGAATTTGAATGTAATCATCTTCCATTGGTGTCCTTCCTGTGCTCCATGCTGTTGATTTTGACTTTTTCCTTCCCACAGAAATTCTGTTGAGGAAGTAAACATGAAGTCTGGACAGTATCTTTTGATGGCTTATGCCATAAAGGCCTTGGTCTGGAAGCAACCAAATTAACATACATGCCTACAAAGATCTCATATTGTTTTCATGTCTCCTTAAACACAATACTTTACAACATGTTCAAAAGAAACAGATTAGTATGTGAACCAGTTTGTACATTATCTGAGTGTCAAAATTTCAACTTCAGCTTGAGGATACTATGTGGGCCAGAAAGATGGGCTATTCTTTTCTCGACACTTTTGATCCCCCCCTCCCCCCAAATGGCATGGCTCTGATGTAGGAAGCAAACACATCATCTGCTCTTCCTATGTTTTCTTCACATTGTAACCATTGCCAAGGCAACAGGAATCCAACTTCACATGTTTCATGTTCCACATTACCAAAGAATTGGAATCATTTTTTACAATATTCCAAAACAAATCCTTACAATAAAAAGAGTGATGAAGAAATCAGTTAGTGTGTCATCCTATTTTTAAAAGTAACTTGATTCAGGACTCTAGTCTGTTTTATAATTGTACTTGATTGAGTGGCATGATTGGTATAAGAAACTAACTTTTTAAAGAGTAAGAATAATGTTTTTTTTTTTAACAGGTGTAACCATCCCTGCAATAAGTCACAAAATCTACAGGATCACAGATTTTTTTTTTTGCCAGGGCTTTTAGCTTACACTTTACAAGGAACAAGATAAAATTGGAAAACACCCACCTCAAAGTCCCAAAGAACAGAGAAATCCATGGCAGTTGGCTGCTCTGCCCTGGGTACGATTTTTCTGGGGATACTTCCATATGATGCACCCATTAATATCTGAAAAAATCATTAAAATTATTTGTGAAGCATTGCAAATATTCCTTTGATTTACATACATATAACAGAATACAGGAACTGGCCTTTGCTTTCAGTGAACTCTCCTGTTTTAACTCTTGTGATAAATAATCTAATAAGCATGACTTGGCTGAATCAGAATATCACATGAGTCTTTGGGTGAGTCTACATGGGCAAGAAAACCCATATTCACCCTGAATCAACTCATGGCTGGTGAATATTACACGTTTCCTTGGGTTAAACTAGCTTTGCATACACTTCAGACAAAATCAAAGGATGCCCTGGGGTCTGCTGGAAACTCTAGAATATCTCATGTCATCAAGGCAATCTAGACAAATGGATCGGGTCCAAAACAGATCGCTCTACTGTCTGAAAGGGATGCTGCCACCATCACACTTTCCCCATGCTGATGAGCACAGTGAAAGGGGGATGAATCCATGTCACTGCTGCTGCCTCTGCCTTGAGCCAGCCAAAAGGTTCATGTAATCTCTTAACCATCACAAGTGTGCGACTCTGACATAAACAGAGGTACCCGCACAACGAAGAAGAAGATGGGGAGATTGACTACCCTCCTTGCTGGTCAGATGGCCATCTCTGCTGATGTCAGAAAGGGATACCACCTCCCCTAAAGAAGAGAAAACAGTTCTTCCTTGTAGAGAGATTTCTTCTCACATGGAAGAACTCCCATAGCTTCTTGGGGTAGGTGAACAAAGTAAAACAAATAAACAAGTATTTAAAAAGGCATGTCTGCACAGGGTAGGGCATTCAGGGATCAGAAGGCAGAGTTATGGCCATGGTGCAGAAACATATGTCCGTGATCAAAACAGTTCCAAACCAATAATGTGACATAAATATGATAAATGTTGATGCAGAGCTTCTATATTTGAAATAGAGTGATTGTGGCAGGACTGCAGGTTTGTGTTTATAAAGCTATTGTCCTCCTAACCCTGCTATATGCCTGCGAGACGTGGACTATCTGCAGACGTCACATGCAACTCCTGGAACGATTCCATTAGCGCTGCCTCCGGAAAATCCTGCAAATCTCTTGGGAAGATAGGTGGACAAACATCAGTGTGCTGGAAGAAGCAAAGACCACCAGCACTGAAGCGATGGTCCTCCACCATCAGCTCTGCTGGACCGGCCACGTTGTCCGGACGCCCGACCACCAAAGCAGTTATTCTACTTTGAACTCAGAAAAAGAAAACAGATTGTTGGTGGGCAGGAAAAGAGATAAAGATGGGCTCAACCTCATAAACTCTGGCATAGACACTGAGAACTGGGAAGTCCTGGCCCTTGAGCGCTCCAGCTGGAAGTCAGCTGTGACCAGCAGTGCTGCAGAATTTGAAGAGGCACAAATGAGAGAGAGAAACGTGCCAAGAGGAAGGTGCGTCAAGCCAACCCTGACCGAGACCGCCTTCCACCTGGAAACCAATGCCCTAACTGCAGGAGAAGATGCAGATCAAGAATTGGGCTCCTCAGTCATCTATGGACCCACCAGAACACTGATCCTGGAAGACTATCCTACTCGGCCAACGAGAGATCGCTGAAGTAAGTAAGTCAGGTCTGTGTGATAAAGTCCTTAGTCTATAAAATATTATGCTACCCACTTTAGTTAGACTTTCTGGTGCTACAAGATCCCTTTGCATACTAATATTCCAGATTAACAAAGCAATGTGTTTGAATTCTACTAAAGTTAGGGAGAATAAAAAAACAGATAATGCATTTTAAAGGAATTTGAATTTTTACCATATATTAGAACTAGCACCACATACAATTATAATGGTAATCATGTGTTTGAGAAATTTTGGATTATGTTTTTTCTCCAGTTATAGTGGTCTATCATTGTCAAACTGATCTGTTGTTTTGCAGTGTTTGTGTCTTCTCGGGAATAAAATAGAATGTTGATACTCCAAAAATCCACAGTAAAACTCCCATTACCCTTACAGAACTCTTCAGTAGTAATCATTAAAGAACATATTTCACAGTAGCAGTTTGGATTCCACTAATTTTGGGGGAATGGGAGAGCTGTCATTTGAACTAAATGTCCCAGTACCACCCCCAACCCCCCAAATTTTGGAAAGGAATTATGTTTATGTCTGTATGCAGCACTCATACGATGATACAAAAACAGGATCATGCCTGGAGAGTGGCCTTGTAATATATTGTTGCAAAACTTGTTAAATATTCTTTATCCCATTTGATGTGTGTGTAGGTCTTCCTCAACTTGATGTGTGTAAGGAATTCAACCCAACAATAGGGATAGAATCTGTATTAATCTGGAAAAGCACCATTTTGGGGAAGAATTGTGCAAGGATGCCGAGGATTAACACTGATGAAATGTGGCTGGAAAAGGGCAAAATATACAGTACATCTTTTTCCAGAGGATAGAATGAGAACACTCTGCAGGAAAATACAGATTCTGCCATAGTTTAATATAGCTAGTAAAAATATAATTTGTGAGGGCTTGTTAATATCTACCCCTATCATACTTAATAGTAGGAGTGTTTGGTTTATTCTTGATGGTTTCCCATTTGAAGGATGGATAATATGAAATCCCATTTAGGACTAATTCAAACATGCAGGTGCATCATTTGCAATCTCATTCCCCATTCATTTCAGTGAAACAAGCTGATTTCACTGTATAAAGGCAATGCTTTCACAGCTGGTGATGCTTTGCAGGAGAAAAAATGCAGAGCTTTGGAAAGTAATTTTAGCTTCATCTCTCAGAACCTTCTAGCCTATATTTTTAGAGCTATACTACAAAAGTATGGTTTCCAAGCTCTTGCAAGGTTATCCAAAATATTTTATCTCAGACAATGGTTTAAGACTTTTTACATCCATCTAGTCCTCATATTTTCCTCATCGTCCTCTCAAAAGCAGCAAGATTTTTGTAGAAAACAGAGTTGACATTTGGAGGAAGAGCTGGAGAAATACAGACTTTTAATGACTGGTTGCAGAAGTGTGTCTGCACTAGAATCATAGAATTGGAAAAGACCTCATGGACCATCCAGTCCAACCCCCTGCCAAAAAGCAGGAAAAATCACATACAAAGCACCTCCGAAAGATGGCCATCCAGCCTCTGTTTAAAAGCCTCAAAAGAAGGAGCCTCCACCACACTCCAGGGCAGAGAGTTCCACTGCTGAACAGCTCTCACAGTTAGGAAGTTCTTCCTAATGTTCAGGTGGAATCTCTTTTCCTGTAGTTTGAAGCCATTGTTCCGCATCCTAGTCTTCAGGACAGCACAAAACAACTTTGCTCCCTCCTCCCTATGACTTCCCCTCACATATTGATACATAGCAATCATGTCTTCTCTCAGCCTTCTCTTCTTCAGGCTAAACACGCCCAGCTCTTTAAGTTGCTCCTCATAGGGCTTGTTCTTCTCCTTGATCATTTTAGTTGCCCTCCTCTGGACACATTCCAGCTTGTCAACATCTTCCATCAATTGCGGTGGCCAGAATTGGACACAGTATTCCAGGCGTGGTCTGACCAAGGCAGAATAGAGAGATAACATGACTTCTCTGGATCTAGACACTATACTTCTATTTATGCAGATAAAAATCCCATTGGTGTTTTTTTGCCGCTGCATGACATTGTTGTCTCATGTGTAACTTGTTGTCCATGAGGACTCCAAGATCTTTTTCATACATACTGCTCCCGAGCTAACTTTAGTCCTGTACCCATGCAATATAATAAAGAATGTTCGGTGTTGGAAGAGGAGGAGACACAACAAAGTTGAAAAGTAGAACAACTAATTCAGACAACAGAATGGTTATGCTTCATCAACAATTATTTCTAGTGCACTTCTCTTTTTAAAATATCACATACTGCATGTATACTTAACACTTGGCACTTTGTATGTAAACAGCTATAGCTTTTATATATTAGAAATATTTACAGTATGGGTTGTTGCGGTTTTTTTGGGCTATATGGCCATGTTCTAGAAGCATTCTCTCCTGATGTTTCGCCTGCATCTATGGCAGGCATCTTCAGAGGTTGTGAGGACCTCACAACCTCTAAGGATGCCTGCCATAGATGCAGGCAAAACGTCAGGAGAGAATGCTTCTAGAACATGGCCATATAGCCCAAAAAACCTACAACAACCCAATGATTCCAGCCATGGAAGCCTTCGACAATATATTTACAGTATGCTTTTTCAATGCATGGGCCTGCTTTTATACAAATTACCATTGGTTTTTCTGTAGGATATTGATAACAAAAGATGAGGTATATTGTTCCAATTTGACAGAACTATTCAGGTACTATTCAGCATGCAGATGGAGATTTGAACTTTGATTACAGGTTTGAAGGACATCTAAATGAATTCATTCATTTATTTACCCTATTAATACTCCACCTGTCTCAATCCCGAAGTGGATTCAAGGAGGCTTTACATATAAGCAATTATTCACTGCCTTAAAACAACATATAATTAAAATAAGCATTTAAATTAAGAATTAAAATTAAAGCACATTAAAACTTTACATTCACTGTTAAAACCACACCATCCACAATCGTGATCTGGGGCCATTCCAGTAGTCATTGCACATAATTCAGATCTATTACTGCACTACAATTATTCTCCAGAGGCTTGATTCCAAAGCCACCTTTTCACTTTCCTTCTGAAGGCCAGGAGGGAGGGGGCTGATCTAATGTCACTGGGGAGGGAGTTCCACAGCTGAGGGGCCACCACTGAGAAGGCCCCGTCTCTCGTTCCCACCAGTGGGACCGAGATCAGGGCCTCCCCAGAAGACTTTAACCTACAAAGTAGTTCATAGGTGGAGAACGTCAAGAACACTTGAGATGCTAGCTTTTCATTTGCTAGGCATTATTGCTCATGTAAATGAGAATGTACATATGGTATGAAGACATGCAACTTAATGCTTTTTGTGTTCAAACTGGTATTTGTTCAATAACGTTTGTGTACTTACCTCAGGTATTATAACTAATCCAAATATTAATCCAAACAGGACAAGGTTTACCCCATACATCCATCGCAGAAATATGAAATAAGAGGCCACTGAAGATCCAAAATGACCTTAAATGATGAAGAGATGCTGTTAGAAAGGTGCTTGAGTCAAGTGAATTCACTGACACATTTTTGTGTATACTGTACTTATAAAATCCTGTTTCTACTAGTTTCAACACTTCCTCCTTCTGCTGCTAATATATCCATATGGAAGACCTGCATTAGTTTAAGCTAAGATTTACAATTTTCCGAATGTCATCCACATCCTTTTTCACTGCCCCCAAAAATGTTTGTTAATTATCTAAATTGACCTCATCCTCTTCACTTCACATATGCCATTTTGTTTCTAGGGTGACAGAAGCAATTATGAAAGAGAAGCGCATATAAGATGGTTTTTTAAAAAATGACTTGAAAGAAGGACATGTTGAATGCATTAAGCCAGTGTTTCTCAACCTGGGGGTCGGGACCCCTGGAGGGGTCATGAGGGGGTGTCAGAGGGGTCACCAAAGACCATCAGAAAACACAGTATTTTCTGTTGGTCATGGAGGTTCTGTGTGGGAAGTTTGGCCCAATTCAATTGTTGGTAGGGTTCAGAATGCTCTTTGATTGTAGGTGAACTATAAATCCCAGCAACTACAACTCCCAAATGCCAAGGTCTATTCTCCCCAAACTCCACCAGTGTTCACATTTGGGCATATTGAGTATTCATGCCAAGTTTGGTCCAGATCTATCATTGTTTGAGTCCACAGTGCTCTCTGGATGTAGGTGAACTACAACTCCAAAACTCAAGGTCAATGCCCACCAAACCCTTCCAGTATTTTCTGTTGGTCATGGGAGTTCTGTGTGCCAAGTTTGGTTCAATTCTATCATTAGTGGAGTTCAGAATGCTCTTTGATTGGGGAACTATAAATCCCAGCAACTACAACTCCCACAGGACAAAATCAATACCCTCCCCCAATCCCACCAGTATTCAAATTTGGGTGTATTGAGGATTTGTGCCAAATTTGGTCCAGTGTATGAAAATACATCCTGCACATCAGATATTTACATTACTATTCATAACAGCAACAAAATGACAGTTATGAAGTAGCAGTGAAACTAATTTTATGGTTGGGGGTCACCATAACATGAGGAAGCGTATTAAGGGGTTGTGGTATAAGAAAGGTTGAGAACCACTGCATTAAGCTTTCCTAGGTTAGTGGCTTAGAGCAAGAATGGTGAAATTATGGCTGTTAGATTTTGGACTACAGCCATAACTATTTCTGGCTATGCTTTTGAAAGCTGATGGCAGTTGGAGTCAGGGCCGTAGCCAGAAAATTTTTTTGGGAGGGGTTGAATTTTTGGGGGGGGGGTTGAAAATTTCGCAGGGGGGGGTTTGAAACCTGCCTCCTAGCTCACGCTGAAGCAAAGAGCACAGCAGGGGGCAGAGCAGCCTTCAATAGCCTGCAGCTCCGCCCCTGTCAACCACCTCCACCAAGTCTGGCCTCCTTAATGAGAGCATTCAACACCCTCCCCCAACTTGGTTGCTTCACTACTGTTCTGTCGCACGCTGGGCCTGTAAATAATTGTCTTTAGAACAGGATGTGCAACCTTTGCCCAGCGGGAAGCCAGGGGGCCTAAAGAGAAGTTCTCAGAGGTTTCCACCACAAACAGTCTTTAGATGGCTTGAGAAGTACAACAAGTTCTTTTATTAATGAACAATCAAACAGAAACTTCTCTTGTCTTCAGTAAAGTTAAGCAAATTCCAAGCTTTTAGACAACTGGTGAATTCCTAATCTTGCCCACGAAGGACAGGCAACTGTCTTCAATAACTTCTTCTTTAAAGGAAAATCCCCTTTTTAACTTCTCCCAGGCTGACTGTAATGTGGGCTCCGCTACCGGGTCGAACTGCGTCTCGAACGCCGAGTGGACCTACCAGCAAGGCAGTAGATGTTCTCCAGCTGGAGTTCTTTGGTCTTTAGGGCTGTTTTCCTGGAAATTCTTTGGAGACTCTTAAGACCTTTCTCCCCCGGAAGGTCTTAAGGGTTGAAGCTTTTGTACAGGGGAAGCTTGCACACATCCTATACATAAGCTTACCTTGCTGAGACTAACTAAAAATGGCTCCCTTCCCTTCCCAATTGCCCTGAGCAAGGGGCGGAACCAAAACTTAACAATGATGGACAGGTGACTTGCCCTATGACTGCAACCAAAGAAGCCACCTATCTGCAGAATCCCTGAAACCTAGGACTGCAAGCAAACATTTAATACAAAGCAAATAAAGTTGGAGCTCCTGGTACAGCTGTACCAGAACAACTACATCGGCTATTGTTGCAAGTAATGACAGTGTGAATAAATTGCTAATATTTGCTTGAAGCATATAAAGTTGGAGCTCCTGGTACAGCTGTACCAGAACAACTACATTGGCTATTGCTGCAAGTAATGACAGTGTGAATAAATTGCTAATATTTGCTTGAGATAGTGCTTGCAGTTCTGGAGGGACTCTTAATTTTTTGCATCTCATAGACTTAGCATGGGGATTTGGTTAACCAGTTAAAATTCATGAGTAAACCAGGTTTTTAAAAAAAATCTGAAACATTTCGGGGGGGGGGGTTGAACCCCTAAACCCCCCCCTCGCTACGGGCCTGGTTGGAGTCAAACATTTGGAGGCCCACAACTTCCCCTTGCCTACTTTAGAAAGTTGCCATCCTATCCAAGATGATCCTGTTTCAAGGCTGTGAAGTACCAAGAAATCCAATGTTGATGTGCAATAACATTTTGAAGTACTTAGACCAGGCATGGGCAAACTTTGGCCCTCCGGGTATTTTGGACTTCAACTTCCACAATGGCTGCCGGTAGGCTGTTAGGAATTGCCCATGCCCAACTTAGATCCTGCACTTCCTTCCAGTGGTATTTTTTTTAAAAAAGTTTAAAAAGTTTTAAATACACAAAAGCATCATGATTAATTTATCTCAAAATTTCCTTGAGTCTTTTGAGGTTGCATTACCTTACTTCACAGCTTTATAAGCACAATAGAATGTCATTGGTGTGACTTTTATGGCCCTGGCAAAACTCATTACATTCAAGAAAACACTGGCGGCATATAACTAAGAAAGAACATTGGTTCCTGTGCTGTCTTGGTTATGGATCGTCAGAAAAAATGGAGGCATACCTGCAAGGTTATAATGATGAACTCAAGCTAGAACAAAAGATCAAAAGCAAGCATTTAGGCCTAATCAATACAGTGAAAAAGTAGGGCTTTATTAAAAAAAACCTGATTATTTATAATCAAAGAGAAAGCAAAGAAAAGTTTGTGTTCCTCTTTGTATTTTCTCAATCTGTCTGCCCTGAGGTTAGGATGTAAACTGTATAGAAGATAAAATTTGATAGAAGAATGGAGCAAGAAAAGCAAAAATTTTGGAGATTGGCACCTCTGCTAATTCTTTTGCCATTGCTTCCAGACTTTAATCTGGCACAAGATTAGCAGATTCTAGGAAAGTCCAGAGTGGGTCCCAGTGTTTTTTGACGTGAAGACAGTAGACGTGTGTGTGAAATTCATTCCTACTGTTTCTACCATTTGTTTCGTGTCTGCCATTTCTTCAGAAGCACAAAACAAAAAGCCACATGAAAATCTGCTCGACGCAAAAGCCTAACCCTAACCCCAAACTTGCCTCCTTGCCTTGGAAAAAGTGTATGTGTGGGGTGGGACATGCAGGTAGTGCGTGTGTGGCAGGATGTGCAGGCAAACCTGGAGAACAGCTGAGTGTGTGTGTGGTGGGGTGTGCAGGCAGGCCCAAAAATTGGACCATTATGGGGGGAGGCTTCCCACCCATTGGCTCCCCTTCCTGGAATGTGTTCTTACCTGGCACCTGCGTTTCTACTCTAGAGTAAGAGGCACTCAGCAGGCGCATGCACTTTCCGGGCCTGCCTGCACACCCCACCACACACACATTCTCTCTTTCCCCCGTGATAACTCTTTTAGGAGTAAATTTCCCTTCCAAGGGCTAAATTTCTCTTACTTCCTATTGTCTCAACTCTGTTCTTAACTATGAGTCATTTGTGAGTCTGATGTTTGTAACTCGGGGACTGCCTGTTTATCAAAATTCCTGCCATGTACGCCTGAAATAATATAGAGATATAAATCAGGTAGATTGGAAGGTTGACTTACTTTCCACTTCTTTTATCTTCATTTCCCAAGGTATACATTGTGTCTTAAAATTGTCAAAATCTCTCTTAAACTTGACCCATTTCTGGAAGTAAACACAACAGAGGGTAATGTTGCTTAAAGACTGCAGAAGGCAAAGGAAGACTGGTGAAAATTTTCCCCATGATTTACTAGTTTTGAGAATGAAAAATGGACCCTCTGTAAAGATGCTGGATTTCCATTATAAAGGTGACATATTGAATCATTGATTGATGAGGAGGAGGTCTAGTGGGCTTTGCGCTGACTGCTTTTTCCAACAGTGATAACCATAGGGCTGGCCTTGTCATTAGGCAGAGTAAACTAACAGGTTCATGGACTTGATATGAAGTGTCTCACGTGTTTTATAGTTTAATATTAGTAGCACAAAGCATTTTCTATGCAATGAAGATATTTCATAAAACTTCATAGTACTTTGCAAAATGAGTAGAAGAATTAGATGAGAATTTTTACTATGGAATGTATGCTATTATATATGTCTTTCTTGAAAATTATTATTATTATTATTATTATTATTATTATTATTATTATTATTATTAGGAACATTTCTATCCTGTCCTTCTTGCCTCCAAAGAGGGATTCAGGACAGCTACTGACAGGCACCATTCGGTGCCAAACAATAAAACAAGCATAATATACAATTAACCTACATTAAAAACAATGATAGATACATTAAAATAGTTCACTGTCTTCCAAATCAATCCATTGCCGTCAACTAAAACGTCCATTAAAACCATCTATTCTGCAAACACTTGATCCCATATCCAGGGTTTGAGGTTCTTCCAGAAGGTCATGAGGGAGGGGACAGATCTGCTCTCATTAGGGAGGGAGTTCCACAGCCAAGGGGAGACTACCAAGAAGGCCCTGTCTCTCGTTACCACCAAGTGCGACTGCGATGGCTGTGGAACCAAGAGCAGGACCACTCCAGACAATATTAAGGTCCTTGGGAGTTCATAGAGGGAGATACGTTTGGACAGGTAAGCTTGGCCGGAACCCTTCAGAGGGAGTGCAACTCCATCAAGCACAGGCTGTATCCCTATACTCTGTTCGGCCTTCCAACTGACCAGGAGGACCTCTGCCTTGTCTGGATTAAGTTCCAATTTGTTCACTCTCATCCAGTCCATTACAGCAGGTGGGAAGGAATGACAGATTTGGACATCATCTGCATACAGGTGACATTGTAATCCAAAACTCTGGATGATCTCTCCCAACGGCTTCATGTAAATAAAAATCCCAATTTAAAATAAAAAATATAATAGATTATTTTTATTGATCATAAGTCCTGAAACAGAAGTTGGGGGGCATTTCTCAGCAATCTTTTAGTTGTATATTTCTGCATAAGGGGGCGGGGGCTGGATTAGATGCTCCTTGCAGTCCCTTTAGACTCCATGAATTTATCATCAGGGGAGTGGAAACACTCTTTGGGGCTATTATGCTTACAGTAGCTATGTAATTTTAGGCAGAAAAATGTTTTGGGCGGTGTGCATTAGAAGTGAGGTGAGATGTTAATACTGTAAGGCAGCCTGGCTTTACACACAGCTTTAACTAACTTGAAGTATTTAGAAGCAGTAAGATCTGCCATTTATGGTGATGCAAACTATATATAACACATGAAATATTTATATTTCTGATTGTTCCCCTGCATACTCATTTTAAGCCCCTCTACATAGATGACAATTAATGTCTATATAAGCTTGGCTTTAGTACAGGGGTGGGGACAGTATGGCTCACAGGATCCTATTTACAATCTCTGAAGATCATGAGAAGCCCTTCTCAAATTATATTTCCATGAGTGATTTTTTTGTCTCTTAACAGACAGACACTAGTTGTACTAAACAAAAAACAAAAACCCATCTGAAGTTCTTGTTTCACTTACCTTGGCCATCATCATTTTATAGGCATATAGCTTTTTTCCTTTGCCCTTTCCCAAGGCTCCTTCAAATTTTTCCACAAAATCTTGAGCCTCCCTAAATTTTTTAAAAATAAAAAGGTTGTTATATTTATAACTTAAAAAAAAAGTCTGGGAAAACTGAGATAAAATCCAACTATAATCACCATTTTGATCACAAAGGAAGCACAACCATGGCCGGAATCACTGGGTTGTAGTTTTTTTCAGGCTATATGGCCATATTCTAGAGGCATTCTCTCCTGACATTTCGCCTGCATCTATGGCAAGCATCCTCAGAGTAGTGAGGTTTTTATTTTTACTACATGAGTCTCACTACCTCTGAGGAAGCTTGCCACATATGACCCGAAAAAACCTACAACCCATGGAAGTCACCGTGCCTGTGTTCTGCCATAGGTATGGGCACAGTGCTTTTAACTCAAATTCCTGTACTGAGCTTCATTGTGCAGAAATCTGAAGTTACCTGTGCAATACAGTTAGTTTAATCATCTGGACTTCCTTCTCCAAGATACCATCCATACTAGAGATATAAATTAGTTTATCCATTATCTCTTCTCATCCCTCTCTTGAGGTCATTAGAGACACTATTGTCTGTGAATAGCATTTGTTTTGTATTAAATATTAAGGTGTTATCTGAATTCTATCCAGTTGAATTTCTGTATGTGAAAAGATTGCATTGTTTTAATTTGCAATTAATGGCTACAATGGTCTATTTTTACTACATGAGCCATAATTTTGTCAGAGAGGTACAGATCTCCATAAAACCATAATTTAAGGGGTTCAGTGGAGAAGCTCTCTTGTAGCACAGATTTGTTTCTCAAATTAGTGAATAAAACTCATTTGTTTTATTTGTTGATCTGATTTCTCTATACTTTCACATATACTTTACCTTTGAGCGAAAAAGTTGATCATTGTTATCTAGTGTACATATATAGAAGTGATTCATCCTGACTTAGACCATTGGTCTTTTCAAACCCAGACTGTTTATACTCCAACAAACAGCATCTGTGCACTCAATCCTCCATGGCTTTGATGTTCTGGAGCAGGAGCAGGATTTCCAACATCAATGCCTCTCTGTCCAAAGTACAGATTGCAGTTATTCATGCTTCAGCCACAGATCTGTTTTCCCTTCTTCTTGATTTCTTTGTGTAAGGACGCAAAGTGGGGGCAAACACCAGACAATGCTTTGAGAACCATCTGAAGGGGTCCTCTTATATGAGGACTTGGATAATTCTTACAGCATCTACTAATTGCATATGGACTCACTACTTTCCAGTGCTTCCCCATTGCTTTGTCCTGGGAAGGCAAGAGAAGGGTGAAAACTATCTCCAGCCAGAGTATCAGCCAAAAGATGAAGGAGGAGCAAAGCTAAGATGCTTTCAGATTTGGAAACCAACAACATTGATCACAGCCACCTTTGAAGGCATGTCTGACCACGGTTTGCTTCTCCTCCATATTCTCTGCTTGAAGAAAATGAAGGAGTAACCAACATGACTATTTGGAGGAATCTGGATGGTGTAGTCCATAAATAGATTTTCTTCACTTGAGACTCAGTCCCCTTCTACCTTGCCATATAATCTAGATAAGCAAATCATATCATCCACATTATCTGCTTTGAACTGGATTATATGAGTCTACACTGCCATATAATTCAGTTCAAAGCAGATAACTTAGATTTTATATGGTAGTGTAGAAGGGGCCTCACTGACACTTGCCAGTTAATCTGGAGCAAGTATGGAACAAAATACTCTAGATTTGACTCAGAGGTGGCCACACACACTGTCTCCAACCCAAGTCTGCAGTGTTTGGTGTCCAGCTAGACCTAGACCACATCAGCTCCACATGATCTTCTTAACCATGTTTGGTATCCAGCTGGGCCTAGATCACATCAGCTCCACATTTATTTATTTATTTACGACATTTACATGCCACCCTTCTCACCCCGAAGGGGTCTGAGAACGGCTTACAAGATATATATACATACAATATATTATATTATTAGCATAATACAATATCAGTATTGTATATTACTATATTGTACTATACCATTATATTGTAATATTATTAGTAATATTACATTTAATATAATATATATTAATATCATATTAATAGTAGTATTATATTGTATTACATTAGAATATTATAAATATTATATTATATTATATTATATTATATTATATTATATTATATTATTAGCTTAGTACAGGAGACAAGGGGGATCTTTTTAACCATGCATGTTACTATCACTACTCCCAGAGTCCTTTGAGAAGTCTTGACTGCCACAAACACCCCATGTTGATTTCAGCAGAGGTCCCCACATGACCAAGAAGAAGGAGGAGACAATCTGGAGCAGCAACGATGGCAACATAGTCCCAAAATATCCCCAATTCCTTGTGCTGATGGGTGCAGAGAAAAGGCAGGTGGCAATGGTGCCCCATGCGGACAACAATCTGTTATAAAACACACCCAATTCTGCTTTTCACACTGTGCCAAAGCTTCAGGTTTGATCTGGAGTCACAAACAAAGAGTTTCAGGAAAATTCCAAAGCATCCTCCAGCTTTTCTTAATGAGGCACTAACCTGGATTTATTCAGCTTACCCTGCAGAACCTACCAGCAGTAGAGGAACATCATGAAGAGAGTCAGTTCGGGTGCATGCTGAAGATGTGTTATTCAACCCATGTAGATAAGCCCTGTTCTACATATGTCTTTTCTTGAATGAGGATAAGAAAGAACTCTAACCTGCTAACCTGAGCTGCATTGCGTTATTCTTGGCAGCTGACCCCAGATCATTTAAAAAAGCTTTCATTCGAAAGCTTTTGGAGAAATCATCCTTCTTATCCCTGTACAAAAGGGATGGGAAGCATGTCATCTTCCAGCTGTTGCTAGACTACAACTTCCAGCATTTCCCACCTTTGGCTAAGCTAACAATGAGTTGCAGTCCAGCAACATCTAGAAGGCCACATTACCCCCTAGAAAACACATTGACAACCAAAGAAAAGCAGAAAAATTTTAAATGACGTTTTAGGTGTGTACTTTTACTTAAAGTAATAACATGAGCCAGGGTGAGGTATCAGCTAAGGAGGTTTTTATTTTCATTATTTGCCCTCCAATTACAAAGGTTGCTAAAAGATTGCTTTTTTCAGTGCTTTCATTATTTGAGCCAGTTCAGATGGAAAATTCCAATCTCGACATTCCCAGGACTGGGGGCTTCACAATGATATAACTGCTATCGAGCACAATTCTCAGAAATTGAAATCACAGTCTGAAATAGAGTTTGAGAAAGTTGCTTCTTGGATTACAATTCACATAATTTCTACCCATCTCCTGGGTTTTATGGGAGTTGTAGTCCAAACACAATGTTTCCAAGTATTGCGTGTATGTTCATGCGCACACACATGCACACCAGTGGTGAAAACTGAAATCACTGCAGGTATGTTGTAGGCTGTTTACCTCAACATCTGTAATTTCTTTACCATCCGCCAAGGTTTGTTTCTCATAACCGATATGAGTTTTTTCTTCTCTTCCACCTGTTCTTTTAGCTTGGCTAGTTCTTCTTCACATAGTGATTCTTCATCTGAAGAGCTGGAAGCAGATGCGGATGAACTGGAGGAAAGACAAAAATCAGACCAAGAGTCAATCAGCTGGTTCCATTTATATCCAATCTTTCCTCCAACAAGAGCAAAGCAGTATGTGTGTGTGTATTCATACACACTAGGCCTGTTCAATGCATGGTTCTAAATGGTTCTAAAGTACTTAGAAAACTAAAGTTCTGGTGGTGAAAATTTCAGAACTCTAACAAAACTCTCAAAATTTCATTATAAATGGCAGTTCCTAATTGGTTCTGTCATAAAAATTGCCAATAATGAAATAATAATTAAATTTTGAAAGAGTTCTGATGGTTGTGAATTTCTTGAACTGAGATGGGGTTGGAGGAGATGGCCCCTGGGAAACTCAACAGCTCTGTGATTCTATTATAAACAAGATGAATATGGCTATTCAAGAATGTGGGGAGAAAAGCATCAAGAAAACGTAAGTATTTGACCCAAAATACAACAGAATCTTACCTGGATATTAACTTGCTGTCTATGCTGCCTAGAGGATAATGGGAGCTGTCATCTAAATAGTACAATAGTATATCTTTCCTGCTGTAAATATCAGCTGAAGCACTTTCATTTCTTGGTGAAAGGGAAACAGGTTATTTTGTGTCCCTTTTTCATTTTGGATTGTTCATATAAGCTCTTGGTGTCCAAATAATAAGGACATCCAAGCACATAGTCATGGAGGAATTTCTAGGACCCATTTTTTTTGTCATGTAAAATCTTAAAGACACACTCTGGTACACTTTATGGTCATTGTAAGTTGCAATTGCCATAATTTAAATTAGATAAAAAATATGCACATGCTATGATTTGTTATGACACATGTCAGAAAGATGGAACAACGGATGAAATGTAATCACTGATAGTTAACAGTGCACACTTTGACTTATTCCTGAATGACACGTGGACTAATTAAATCACAGTTTCTTCAGTGAAATACACAGAAGTAGTGGCCAGAAAAGGATCAAACTTCACGCAGAAGATTTTTTGGGTACGATAACAGTGATTTAATTCCCTGTGTCATTCACAGCTGAAAGCAAGATCTACTGTTTTATAAATATTTACTTTATTGTAATGCTGTGCCTGACTACAAAACATCACAGTCCTTAGATAAACTTTTCCAAACCGATAATCATCCAAATGTGTTGGACTTGTACGCCAACCATTCTCAGACAGCAACCAGTTTGGAAGGCACCAGCTTGGGAATTTTGATCTGGAAACTGCTGAACATTTCTTACCTCCCACTGGTGTTCTTTTTCTTCTTATCTTTCCCCTTTGCTTTCTTGTTTGCTTGTTTGTCTTTGCTTTCTCCCCTTTGTTCTTTGCCAGGCACTTTTTTGCCAGCCCTTTCCTTTCCCTTTCCTGTTTCTTCTGCCTCACTTTCTCCTCCTCCGCTCGCACCTGCTTTCTGGCTTTTCTTCTTATTTGTTTTTTTCTTCCTGGAACTTTCTTCTTCCTCTTCTTCACTTTCATCATCAGCATCCCTCTCATCATGTTTTTTCTTTGCCTTTGCCATTTCTTGTGCATTCTGCTTGCGGGTTATCTTTTCATCCTCCTCCTCCGCCTCCTCTTCCTCCTCCTCCTCATCTGTTCTCAAAGGAAACAAGAAGCCCATTTTGAATAAATTTCTGTTCAACTCATTGTTATAATTAACTATTAGCCTTTTATCAGTCAAGTACAGACAAGAAACTGTCTGTACAGTCCGTAAGAGCAACTACACAGACTACAGTGGCCTCTCCAGACAGCCATTGTAATATATTCAACTGAATTCAGACCTTTGGATCTACTCTGACTTATGAAGAGTTAAATGCCTTTTTCACACCACACAGTTACAGCAAAATGATTCCACTTTAAATGCCAAGACAACATCTGTGCAATGTTGGGGAGAGTTTTTAGGATTCCCAGCAAAGAGCTCTAGGGTCTGATTTCAGTTGATCTTTTCTAAGAAGGAGTAAGTTTGGATCCAGCTCTTTGTGTTGTATACAAATATCATAGTAGGACCTGTTTGCCGATCATTGTATCAGAGTTGTGTCATGGAGGCAAATATTGTCCACAATCCTGAAATAGATCATTGCTTAGTCAACACATAGATTTTTAATTTTTTAAAATCATCTTATTTCAAATATTTTACAATTGTACATAAAAAGGGGGATATGGGAATGATATGTGGGGAGGGGGGAAGGGAGAAAAAAAGTGGGGTGGGTATGAGCTGGGGGATGGGAACGGGGGTGGGGGTGGGGGGAGGTTTGGCTTCCAGTCAATTCCACAGGAAGTTTGTTTTCTTATACTATCTTTTCTCTCCTTTTTCCAAGTTTTTGCTGCTTTCCCAAATTTTAAATCTTTTGTCTAAATTCTTGTTTTATTTTGTCATATGATTTCACTTCTTTTTCCTAATAAACCGCTTGCGTGTAGCAGTTAAATTACGTCTTCACAGAGATAGTCTGTAAGTGGCGTCCAGGCAGTCTTAGATCTGTTTCCTGTGTCTTGTAATAGATAAGTTAGGGAGTCCTTGTCTTTATAATCCATTAATTTTATAGTCCATGATTCTAAGGTTGGGATTTCTCTCTGGCACCATTTCTGGGCTATTACTGTTCTTGCTGCAGTAGTCAGGTATATATATATATATATATATATATATTGTATCAGAAGCTACTTGAGAACATACTGCAAGTCACTTCTGGTGTGAGAGAACTGGCTGTCTATAGAAACGTTGCCCAGGGGATGCCCAGATGTGTTACCATTCTGCTGGGAGGCTTCTCTCATGCCCCCGCAAGTTAGAGCTGATAGATGGGAGCTCACTCTGACTCATAGATTTGAACTGGTAACCTTCAAGTCAGCAACCTCCAGGTCAGCAATCCAGCCGACACAAGGGTTTAACTCATAACACATAGATAAATCAGGTTCATTCAATTATTTTTGTCATCAGGACTAGCAATAGGATTTGGACTAATGTTATTGTTTCAGGTACACAGGAGAGTATAGAATTTTAGCTTAGGTTTTAAGGATGCAGAAGAAAGAGCCATTGCTTTATCACAAGAGTGGGGAAGCGTTGGCCCTCCAGATATTTTGGCTATGAATCCCATCAGCTCCATCCAACGTAGCCAATAGTTAATGAACTGTGGATCTTGTAGTCCAAAACATTTGGAAAACTACAAGCTCACCACTTCTGTTTTAATAATGTGTGAATTTATCATGTTTCCCAGTGGCTCCATTCCCATTATATAATATTTAGTTAACTTATACTTCTTGGACCCTTCCCAGTAAAACAAAGGGGAGCCAATAAAATTGTGGGGGAGATGGTCCAAAAAGTGGCCATGAGGCTGTATGTGGCCCATGGCATATGTGGTTCCCATCTCTGCTGCAAGATACATTAAGAGGTCTCACCACAGCTTCCAACACAGCATTCAATGGATTAGCCAGACATCCATGGACTTCTGTATTAATGCCAGTCTTTCTGTCATGTACTAACAAGGCTGGTGGTTCTGAATGATTGTTTACATAGCATCACTGTAGCATTTTTTATGTACAGCCCATCGTTCTCAGGATGATAAATTCTTTAACACTCTCTTTCCAAAGACAGCTATAAATCTCACATTTACCTTCACTATCCGAGTCACTTCCCACATATCCATCAATCTCCATTCCAGCTGCAAAACAAAAGCAAACAGAAAAATTGCATGTGTTTTCGACTCTTTAAAATATAGATAACTCTAGAGAGGGGGAGCAGATACAGTTTCTCAGGATTTCTGGCTGATAATAACTGAATTAGAAACTGTGCAGTTTTATTTTTGCCAGTCCTAATTCGACAGTGCACAAATTAACAATGTTTTCTTGTACATCCATCATATAAAATGCATTTTGCTAAACTTCATCTGTTAATTAAACTAACCCCACACATACAACCCCCCCCCCAACAACGCACTATATGTAAGGAATAAATACTAAATACGGGTGAATGCATACAAACCATGTTCCATCATGACTTCCAATTCACTTTTCTTCTTCTTCTTCACCATGATGGATGTTTTCTTTTTCTTTTCTTTTCAAAAAGTCAGCACCCTTGGTCAAGGATTTTTCCCACCTCAATTATAAAGCTACTGGTCACACCTCTTCTCAATGCTGCCTTCTTTGACTGTATGCTGGTATCACAAAGCAAGACATCAATGAACTGGCATTAGCATGTTCTCTCCAGCATAGTTCTTGTGTTACACGGGCGCTTCAGCTTACAGGCTGCACGCTACAGGAAGATTCAGAGAACCAATCTAACCCAGCCACTTTCAGCTCTGATCTCTTTTCAACACAGAAAGCACCTGTTGGCATTGCATTGCATCCCATTACTTAAACATGAAGGGAAGCCCTTTGGTGAGTACTCAGTAGTATCAACTGAGAGGAAGATGTTGCATCTTCCATTGCACATGTCACTGGAAATATATAGTTGGAAGATACACACACACACACACACACACACACACACACACACAGCTTCTGTTCTTTAGGAAAGTTGCCCCTTTTCATCCTAAACACCAGAGCTATTCAACAACATTGTGTTGCCTGAAACAAAGTAGTAAATATGTAGCCTATCCTACACCACGGCTTGGAAAAGTGACCTTTCGAATTACAATTCCCAGAATTTCCCAGCCAGCTTGGCCATGAGCTAGTACATGTTACCTAAACCATGAAAGTTGTATTGGCAGATGACGTTACACCCTACTCAGATGTAAAAAAAAGAAGAAGATAATTTCACTCCCCTACTTAGATTTTTTTTTTATCGTGTCAGAAGCAAACTGAGAATATACTGCAAATCACTTCTGGTATGAGATAATTGGCTGTCTACAGAGACATTGCCCAGGGGATGTCCGGATGTGTTACCAGTTTGAAAACATGTAAATGTGAATAGATCAATAGGTCTGGTGGGAATGTAATGGTGCTCCATGTAGTCATGCCGGCTACATGACCTTGGAGGTGTCTATGGACAATGCTGGCTTTTGAGCTTAGAAATGGAGATAAACACCAACCCCCAGAGTTGGACACGACTGGACTTAATGTTAGGGGAAAACCTTTACCTTTACTACCTGAGTTTTATGACCTGATCAGATGGCCTGATTTGCCCATCATATGCGGCTTGGTCTCCCTTTTTTCCACGGAGCTCATCACATGATGCACAGAGACTTCCGAATGGGCTCAGTGGCTAAAGGGGAGAGCAAACTGCATATACCACGACCACAACAACATGGGATGCCTACCATATTGCCTTTGGAGCAATGGGGGGAAACCAGGGAAACCCCCACCCATGGGATGAGGGCAGAGGTAATATGGGTAATATGGAACACGGCAACGGGTTTTTCTCACACCCCGCCGGGACAATGTGTGACAAATTCATGGGCTTTTGTGATGAGGTCCTTAGGCTGGATCTACACTGTCATTTAAAATCCAGATTATCTGATGAGTTTTATGGATTATATGGCAGCGTAGGCTCACATATCTTATCTTAGAGTGAATTATCCTATTGAATTTATGCTTAGTTATATGTTGTTTGATTTATAGTTGGCGTATGTATGTATGTATGTATTTATGTAAGGCATTGCATTTTGCCATTATTTTTTGTAAACCATTTTGTGTCCCCCCAGGGGTAAAAAAAAGTGGTATATAAATACTGTAAATAAATAAATAAATAACCTGGATTTTATATTGCAGTGTAATCCAGTTATCCAGCCTTCCTGATAACAAAAACCACAGGAAACACCCTTGACTATTTCTTGCCTGACTGTTTAATGCAGGTTGAGATTGTGGGGTTGCTGGAGGGTTGGGATTCCACCATGGGTCCTGCCTCTGTTCCATTAGGGAAGTCTTATTCATACTCAGAAAGAGGAACATGTAAAATATCCTCATAACATCTGTTCCAGTAGGCTAAGATGGGAAATAGTAGGCAAAACCTAAACACTAGAGGGGAAAGAAAGAGATAATGTATCATCAGATCACTGAACCACAGTAGTCAATATCTCTGCAAGAGTTTAAAAACAGGCCAAGAGTTGATCAATGAGAGTTCAAGAAGGGAATTAATTTCTTTTATATATTTCCACTTTGGGCTTAAGGACAGACCAGGTTTCACTGGATTCAATGTAAAATAGGGAAAGGCCAAACAGTCTAGGTTACAGGTGGGTTTTTTAAAGGGAGTAAAATGCCCGAGTGCAGGTTGGTCTTGAAACTGGACTCTCTGATCTCTCTTCTCCTAAGTTTCAGATAACGCATGAGCAGGTTGTTGTGTCTCACTGAAAAGGAAAACATACTCAGCATGTGCTCAGGATATCTCATCCATGTTTATACATGTCATGCTTTCCATGGAAAGCATGGAAAGCAGTTTTTTGGAAACTGGTTGTATCTATGTTCAAAGGAATGCATATCCCATCTCTTGCATGGATGGTTGATACAGATTTATGTATCTTATCTGGCAAATAGTTTGCTCTTCCTTTGTTAAGTAGCAAGCGTTTAAATGATCTGTTTTTCTACTCAGCATATGGGAATAGTTTTCCTAGGAGGATATGAAATGTCTTGCTGGCTTTATTTCTTCTTAGAGTTATGGGC